CTAGACGGATGTACGGTTACTTCCTCTACAGTCAAAAATCTGGGTATTATATTAGATAGCAACTTGTCTTTTGAAAATCATATTTCCCATGTTACAAAAACAGCATTCTTCCATCTTAGAAACATTTCCAAGTTACAAAATATGTTACCTGTTTCTGATGCAGAAAAGCTAGTTCATGCATTCATGACCTCTAGACTGGACTATTGTAATGCACTGCTAGGTGGTTGTCCTGCATCTTCAATAAACAAGCTACAGGTGGTCCAAAATGCAGCGGCTAGAGTCCTTACCAGGTCAAGAAAATATGATCATATTACCCCAATTTTACAGTCCGTCTCCACACAGTAAACAAAACAAGCGTTTCCTAGCAACGACAACTGCACTAAACACTAATGAGACAAGTAAATACACTTACGAGCTGCTTTTAACTTCCGCTGATAAAGACTGCTTCTCTCAAAGACTATTTATTTACACTGTTTTCTGCTGGCGCTTGAACACACTTTCCTTATTTTCTCCGCAACAAATGGCCAAGCAAGCGCAGACACTGACAAGATACGCCATACAGAACGAGATCAAACGCGATATCAGCACGTCATATATACATATATATGTTTCACATTTTTATTATTATTTCCAGGTCGTATTTTGTACCAACTTCATGTAAAACGCCTACTACTATAAATAGTACTAAATATTCTGGAGACGAGCCTTAATAAAATATGCAGTTTGTGTAATTCCCGTGGCTGTAACGTTTGTGTTCAGAGCGAGTTGTTTGGCAGAATGAGCTGCTGCAGTTTTCGCATGTGTGTCCTGTGTTTAGCAACAGAATTACAAGCCATTACACCTGGCCTGGTGACAATAATTATCACTTCCAAGCAAATGTAACTAACCTAATTACTGTCTACAGAGTTGTCAAGCTTCAAAAGCTGAACATGAAAACAAAAACAAGAGGGGCAAATTAGCTCAATTAGATGCCAAGAGGAAAAAGCACCGTGCTGTTGTTATGATACGAGCTATTTTTCACTTCTTTATGACTTTCTTCTTTCCATCTTTTCTCTTGGAGTTTTCTCTGCTCTTCATCAAAAGAACTTTAATCACACTCGACCGCAGAAGAAAACATTCTGCAGCAAACTGATAAAAACAGAATCCTTCTGCTGATAAAGCCGGCCAGACACTTCTGTGATGACAATCAGCTGTGCACTTTTCTGTTGATGGAGGGAAAACACACACCAAGTCTTGCAGAGGTTTTTGATCCACTAAAGTCATCCGCTGGATCTGCGTCTCTCCATCAACGGCACTTTTAACTGTTCAAGATGCTTTGACGTATAGCTAATGTTGAGCAACATAACTGAGGTTTGGAAACACTTACTGCAGTCACTCAAGAGTCTAGTGGTGCCATCGGAATGGAGCTTCATTTCTGTGGCATTAATATAAAAAAAAACATTTCAAAGGCCATTGTGAGAACAAAGCATTTCTTGTGCAGTTTAAAGGAATAGTTGAGCCAAAAAAGGAACATTGTCATCATTTACTCACCATGTTGTTCTGGCCCCATCATTTCTTCCATTAAATGCTACAGCAGAATGTCCGAACGGTTATTTTCCATACAACAACAAATCATTGTGACCACGACCTTCAAATTCCAAAATGTCAAAAAGCAACACCAACGTACTCTGAAAAAAGTCAATACAACTTGTGCACTATATTCCAAGTCTTTTGCAACCAACAATTAACCAAACAACCAATCAATAAATCAATCAACATTTATTTATATAGCACATTTAAAACAACACCAGTTGACCAGAGTGCTTTACATGTATAAAAATAACTCAAATATACAACTAAATATACAAATATACAAAAAAAATACAACCAATCTACAATGGTAAAAATAATTATTTCAAAAGTTCAGGATCAGTACAGTTTTTTCACCAAGGCTGAAATTATTTGATCAAAAATTATGATTAATACAAAGTAAAATAAGTGTCTTTGATTTTAATATCTTTTAACATGTAACTTATTCCTGTGATGGCAAAGCTGAATTTTCAGTATCATTATTCAGTGTAACATGATCTTTCAGAAATCATTCTAATATGCTGATTTGCTGTTCAAGAAAACAGCTATACTGCTTGATATTTTTGTGGATTCTTTTTTTTTTTTTTTTTACGAATCCTAATGCTTTATTTCATTCAGAAAACAAAATGATCTCACCCAAAGTGTTTCTGCTGTTTTCAAGCGTTCCAGGTAGTAATTAGATTACAGTGAATCCAGGAATTTGTTTACATTCAAAAATGAGCCTGTGACTTTTTTAACTGCACGCTGCACTTTTGGGGCCTGTCTGCCATTTGTCACTGTAATTAACTAA